GGTTGGTTTTATATCGACGAGTGCGTCAGCCATCGATGCCGCGCACGGGGGCGAGCATGCCACCGGTCCGCGCTGCGTCCAGGCGGTCTTCCATGGCCTTGACCGCGCGCCGAAGGCCTTCAATCTCTTGGCGTTGGTTGTCGACGACGGTGGCGAGGTCGTCGTCGCCGCCGCCTTTTTTCGAAAAGTACTCGCGCGTCCCGAGAATCGCCTTGTCCTTTTGCAGCGTGGCCTTGCTCACGTTGAGGGCGGCGCGGATCTCGTTGATCTCGGCAATGAGCGCCATGTTGTCGTTCCGCGCTTGGTTGTTTTCATGCTGGTGCGTCGCGACGTCGTGCGCGTACTTCTTCTTGAGCACATCGACCGATTTTTCCAAGTAGTCCTTTTGGCGCGCGTACTCTTGCTGGATGTCGACGTCGACGTCGACGACCTCGATCGCGGTCGTCACGTACTTGTGGTACATACCCGCGACCTTTTGTGTGAGCTCTTTTGGACTTTGGATGCTCTGCGCTGTGTCGTAGAGGTCGCAGCGAAAACTAAAGTGCCATCGTACACAGGATTGGGGTGAAAGAGAGAGATTGTACCGCCGGATCAGCGACTGCTGGTCGCCAATGATCTTGCGATTGCGCGTGATGTCGGCTTGCATCTTGTCGAGGCGCCGGCGCTGCTCGCCAATCATGATGTCGAGTTGCGCGTTCGACTTGTGGAAGAGCTCGAGTTCGCGGTCCATTTCCTTGATTTGCTCCTTCATGTCGGCAATCTCGTTGTCGCGCGGCTCGATCTGGCGCTTGAGCTCCTTGATCTTGTAGTCGAGCACAAACTTGAATTTCTCGAGTTCTTGATTCTTCTTTTTCAAATCGTAAATGCGCTTTTCTTTTTCACCAATTGTCTCGTCGCGGCCGCGGATTTCCTATTTTGCCATGACATTTGTCGCTACACAAAAGAAAAGTACGCGTTTGAGCGCTTGAATGTCTTTTTCGAGCGTCTTGATTTGCTCAAACAAGTCTTTTTCCTTCTCCAGCAGGTTTTTGATCGCGTCGCGCTGGTCCTCAATGTCCTTTTGGAGCGCGGTGAACTTTTTCTTCATGATGCCATTCTCGCCCTTGTAGCGCAGCGTGGCTTCCCGCTCGGCCGCCAACTTGTCTTCGTAGCTACCATAAAAAATGTACACTATTGTCGCTTCAAGATACAGCGTACCGCTTTTTGAGCCCCTCGATTTCCACGTCAATGTCTTCTTCGAGCTGCGTCTTGGTCTCAATGTATTCTTTGTG